GTGTGCTAGGGTAGTCGGTGGCAGTGCCGGTGCTATCCATTCAAATGTGAAAGTCAGATAGCAGGTTAGTGGCAAAAGACACTGGCTCTCTGAATGCGAAAAAAGTTAGTTTCGGGAACCGGGAGTCGCATCCTTGACCTAACTTATTCGCTTCCACTACGGAAAGCGTGTGGAGAAGAATTCCGTGACGTAGAAACTTTCCCTTAACATTGTTTCCTAGTAATGGTACTGTATCTACTTTTCAGGACGCCAACTACAGTAGCTCCTCTGAACACATGAACAGAACCACTTTTGCTGCAGTCCCTAATCTGCAATAACTACCCTATGACCTTGTGTAAGAACAGTTGCGAACAGACCGGGGAAAGGGAGACAGTTGTTTTGGTGACCAAAACATTCAAGGATAGTTTAAAATAGTTTCCAAAATATATGACTGCATACTGGAAATATCACCGAAGGGACCAGCTGAACGTGGGGTCGACCAGTTTGGAAAAGTCCAAGAGCCAAATGACGACGCTCAATTAATCCCCAGAAGACGTGGCGAATCACAATCTATGGATACTTTGTGGGTCCTCGTCAGCTATATAAAATCGACGTTTTTTGTGGTCCTTGACGTACGAAATCCCTACTCACAAAACGCGTCATTATCATCTGGACTTGCAAGACCTCTCTCCTCTAATCACATCTGGAAACGCTTTCCTTCTATTAAGTCTCCCACGGTTAACAATAAAATCAAAGCTGCCTACCAGCGAAAGGAAAACTGCCTTCGCTGCGGGGTTATTTGTTGGGAAACACCAATTGGACAGTTGCAGACTATTGGACAGGAAGGCAAAACTCTCATATGCATCTTGTTTGTAAAAACCGAATATCCGTCTCCTTCTCGAACTCGTCTTCCTGAACTTTCCTGGATACTCATTGACTATCAATCAAATGTAAACGAACGCCACAAAGTGCTTCCACAAATCCCGTAATAAATCTCACTTTTTAATAGACACGAAGCGGATTTGTGAGAAAAACCACACACTACTCGCATGCTTCGTCAGTAGTATCCACTGTTAAACCAGTCACGTTTTGAAAAGCGTAGCGCCCGCACTTTCAAATGTCATCAGCATTATCTTCCTCATCATGAGCATCAGCATTCACAGTAAGTAGTAACTACGATTGAAAAAAGCACAGCCCATTTTCGAGTTTATTAGGTTTTATTATTTTCAAACTATGCTCCCAAAAACAAATTATTGTGTCACAAGACCAAGGCGACAAACAAAGCAAATGTATCCTCATACCAAATATTACTGTTCACTGATTATGAAAGTAATGATACACTTGCCCACTCGGGCGGTAAAAATGAATAAATAAAGCGCTGACCAAAATGGTCTGTACCAGAACTCATGTTCGTTACGAGGCTTTAGGAGAACGACGAAAGGTGGCCTATTCTGAATGGTAGTTTCACCAAAGTGCGACAACACTCGGCTCACACACATCTTTATACCACCCAATTAAATTCCAAACAAACCATTCGAAGGTTATCACGTATTGCACCAGGATCGCAAATGACCGGATGCGAAGATCTGACCAAACAGCATTGGGTACAGCATTAGGTCATCGTCCTATGCCCTGTTGCTGAGTCAAAAGACAAACGTAATTTTCGAATTGAGTACAATCGTCTGAGATAACAAGCCAGATTCCTCTCATCGGGCTACCAGACAATGTAGCTTCCACATGCTCTTAGTGGAAACTACCAATCGTCGATTTTACTTCAGACAGGGTACAAACAGAGTAAAAGTGCAGATGGGATCCGACGTACGCCTCATCCAGATTGTGGCATATTCAGCAGCTATAGCAGAATACTCAGCTTGAAAACTGATCACTTACTTCGCATCACATTTTTATGGAAATATAAGCAACGGTGGCACAGGAATGAGCGTGAAGGCCACAGAATAATTAGGCTCTCAAACCAAACCAATCACTTAAAAATAGCACGTTTCGGAATTCGTAACGAATATTTAATGAGGCCACAGCCTGTCGAAAACGGCATGCAAGACATTATCGATAGACATTCTTCAAAAAAGATTCTGTTGTGACCCTAAATAGGTTTTGTCAAAATAACTAAATTTTTACAGATAATACAGGGGCATACCCTAATAGTGCCGATCTTGTAATTCTGGAAAAGTGATTTCATAGTAATTAGCCTGATAGTTGATAAACCTCAAGGAATCACTCGCGAAGGCGTAAAGTAACAATCTGAGCATAACACCGTAATATTCTACTGTGATCGGAATATGTATCACTTAAGCTTTGCTTAAATCTAACCGCCCGACCCTAGGTCCCGCTTCCTCACATATCAACACACATGCACCTCCTCACCCAACTAGTTTAATTCTTTTGCGCTACTCGTGAGTAGTTTGTTTCTGAAATGTTCTGCGAATGTAATCGCTCAACTGAGCAATAACGACAAGGCCGTCCGTCTAGCAATCAGAACATTTTCTGATTCATGATTGTTCATGGACAGCAACAGAACCAATGAGGTAATAAAAGAGCGTAGTTGGTTAAAGCAGGCCCTCAGTCATATTCGTCGGATGAAAGAACCTTAGGCACGATTATTCGTGTGCACATGGAGTGACGTTGGATGTGGCGATGTTGCGGAACATAGGTAGCTCGGATGCGCTGCTTGGTTGTTGGTCTATTCATCGAGCTTTGTAGTTGGAGTGCAAACACTTCACCACCAACCGTCAAACCCGCACTGTCGATGTCAACTCGATTGGTGATGAAGGGTTTGCAATCTACCTGCTAGGTTCAGAACTGACGAGCCAACAGTTACGAGAAATAGGAAATCTGATTGACACTACCTTGGGTGATCAGTTATGGCCCTGATACTGTCAAACATTTTAACAGCTAGCTTCATCAAGGTCACGCAATTCAACCCCCTATTTCCCCTTTATAGTAACGGTGACCTAACTACAAAGAGTATGCAACCATTAAGCGTCCACCTCGGGGGCGCCAACACAAAATTCGTCATTCCTAGCTGGCCACCGTGATTTAATTACATTCAAGGACATATTTGGGTATTTAAACATAATGCTTAGCAGAAGTGCTGACATCTGGCTGTAAACGACTGTCGTTCTCAACAAGCGTATGCATACCTCCATTACAAATAGGGGTTGGCAGTCGCTTTGTCTCCAGTTTAGACTAAGCAAACAGCTGTATTGGAAGGGTAGTGTATGAAAACCAACGGTCAAGTGGGACGTAGTCATCTATCTATCTCGTTATCACACTTTGAAGTGTTGACTCCATGCTCTGATGGGTAAGCCGCACAAAACTGTGTAAACAGTACCTATTCACAATCCATTAAGCATTATTGACTGTTGATCATGTGGACGTCGGCCTGCTCATCAAGCTGGGTAGTTAGCTTGCAAGCCAAGATGAACAGATCGACAGCCACCTGATCCACAAAGAGTAAACGCACCCGGATTACTAGTATTTAACAATCCACCAATTGAGCATTTGTTTTATGTATCTGAGTGTCATAGCATTTCAAGGAAATCATCAACTATGCTTTGCCCTGTCATTCAAAAGCCTAATAAAGTTTAGCCCCGTGGAACCTCGCCGAAGCTACGAAGATCCAACATAGATACATGCCTGGATGAAGAATCGTCATCTATTTCCCTCGTGGCATCACTCTCCTCACTTTTGAGAAGAAACAAAGTTGTGGTTATCCGTTCGCATCTTACCAATTTCTTTTCATTTTGACTCAATGGCACACGACAAGGGTCGAGAGTTGGTGAAACTAGCGTGTTCTCAGCTACACGCTACGATACTGTAGCAAACATACTCATCGGACTCGCAGCACAATGGGTCAAGCTGATTATTGGAGGGTTATCATCTTCATAGTTGGGACAGCTTGCTAACAATGAAGTCCACTATGGCAGAAATGCTTCTTGCAGAGACATCATCACATAAATCCTTACGAAACTCGAAACAGCTCAGGATCTAAACAAAGAGTAGCCATTTTTTTCGAAAAACGGCACCACATCCATGCACTAAATGTTTAATACACATTTGATGATAAAAATGTTACGTCCAATTCACCCTACAGTCTACCTGTTAATGGCGGAACGGCATTCATGCAATGAACATGGAAAACGATGACGCTTTTTAGTGAAAGACAATCTGTTGTCTATTGTGATAGGCCGCTGTCATATTCACTAGGATTTTGGTAGAAGCACTTTAACAATCGACAGACTGTATGTGCCACACGCAAAAGCGCGTGCACCATCTCGAATGTAAGCAAAAAATAGGCAATAGTATTGGGATGTTGCCACCACGAATGAATGAGGCTAAAACACGCAGCTGAAGCCGAATACTGTATTGATGGATCGAAAGCGTTCACTGTTGACCTAAGCACGAATCGATCGCGAAGATCGGCGAACATTCATTTGAAACCAGTAAGAAGCGAATCTGTGCGTAATTCGATCGTTTCGACCCTCTTAACGACAGACAAGTTTTCGAAAGTTTTCAGGAAAATACGCACACCATTTCTGTGCAACCTACTGATAAAACTCAGTACAGGGCATCCTCCATAAGTAAGATATATGTGAAAATCTCGGTCAAATTCCCACGGTATAGAAAGAAAAAGACAGCCCTCTTCTATTCTGTAAACTTCTCTTGAGTCCCAGCTTAACTGAGGAAATCAAACATATCTCCAACTTTAGCCCCTGAGTCAATACTCATAGGATCATGAAATTCAACCACGTGTTTTCACATGCAGACTTGAATCTATTCTAGCAAATAACATCTGAGCATTTCATAGCATGTAGTGCTGGTAGCAACCGCTAGTTCCGAGTAACGTTGCGATTTTCAGGGTACTCCAAATGGTTGGGTTCCAATAAAAAGAAACAAGAATTATCAGCAAATCGCATCTATCACAAAGCAAATCTGGGGAATACTACTGAATCAAAAATTTAAAAACCGGTGAAATAATGCAACAAATGCAAAAACCCTCATCGCTACCAGTTCAAAAGACCAAGGCTGGCTAACATCTTTCTCAGCTTTTCCTTAGCATAGAGGACTGAACGTACAGGGCCAGTAGTGCAGATACTAAAGGCCGTCTGCTGAACACTAGAAAGCATAACAATTCGTCGCACTGTTCGCCGAAGGCGTAATTGTCGTTCCACAGCCGAGATTTCAGCTAATACTTCCCGTGGGTCGCAGTTCCAAAATCGACGGCCCGGGAGAGCTCGTCTGCAAACATCAGTCGGGATGTTGTTCAGCAGCGACATAACAACATCTTTGGAATCCGGCGGTTGAGAAAAATGCACCTCATTTGCCGCACTCGTCGCATCGGTCGGCAGGAGACCAACGTGTTTCGATAAAGAAGGATGAGCGAGGGTAGTAGAGTATAAACTTTGAAAGCGAGAGAGTCGCTCTTGGCCAGTAACTATACGGTCAACCTTATTTTTGTCTTCGCCCACGAGCATACGCCAATCCCCATCATAGGATATTGATGTAATAGCACGAAACAATTCGAATTCAGTCAAGAAAGGACGAGACGGGTTAACCTGTAACAAAACGTACGACATAGCCGCCAGGAGATTGTTGGAGACCAGTTTGTTGAGGTTACGCACTGAATCTGAGGGAGGCTGTTCGTCTCCTAGGGGGATCCATAAGACTGGTTTGTGCAAACGACCAGCAAGGTACAAACTGGACCACGACTCAAGATCTTGTTCAATCTTAGCATGACCGACTACACCATATTTGAGTCGCAGCTGTTTACCTTCACACTCATCAAACCAAGGTATAAATGGGTTGTACAAAATTTGTGGACCAGGGAAACGGGAAAGAATAGTTCGGACAAAAAACCGCGGGTTGTTTCTCATGAGAAAGCTGTAGTGCATGGGATAGCGGCTTGCGTTCTGAACATGCCAGCGTTCTGGGTCACGGACAATAAGGATCAAATCAAGTTGGGAATCTGAACAGGGTCTGCCATGTTGCGGAAAAGCCACAGATCCATAAGCGAAGGCGCCAATTAGGCCAGTTTCCCTCGGTGGCGAAAGCGTTCGGACTATACGTTGCAAAAGCAATTGATTGGACATACTATCCGATCAGGAAGTTTTCTTCGGCGATTCCTGCGTTCGTTGAATTCGTGCGAGACGATCAACTGTGCCACTGTTCAAATCTTCTAGACGACGATGACCTCTTCGCAACGCTGCCTCAATTTGCAATATGTCAGTTCGTTTGTACAGACTTGCCTGTCTTCGAAATTCGTTCCGGATGGACTGGCGGAGGGATGCGAGTTCTGGACGATTCTGTGGTTCAGTGTCCCCGCTTACGGGTCTGGGAGTTACACTACGTAAAAGATCACGATAGAGCCGAAGAACTTCACGCTGCAATTTACTATGCACACGAGACATAGAACCAATGTCAGCCAGGTAAGGCGAACGCAATCTGCAAATACGAATTTGAAAGTAATTACCAGTGCCCAATTAAATGCTCCAATTCGAAACAAGAAAAGCTATCCTCAGAAGCTTACCTCACTCTGTTTGCCAGAATAGTTTTGTTACGGAATACAGTACTCCGCGTGCAATGCTGCATATAAACTGAATAAACACCGCGATTCAGTCCGGTTCCCAATGAAACGCTAAAGCGGATAAAGTCTCAAGGTACGGGTAACTACGCGAGGCAGTAGACCAAACAACGACCATCCGAAAGCAGGCGCAGAAAGCATTATTATTTGTATGTTTTAACGGACAAGAAGGAACCACCGTTGTTCAGAGGAGAGTAAATCAAACTTCAAAAATATCTGGCCGACAGAAGAACGATGTCCCGTATCCGGAATATACAATTGTAGTATTTTGCTAATTTACAAGACAGTCCTAAGCTGCAGTTGCCACCAACCGTACTTTGGGTGGAATCAACGATGAAAGAAACCCGAAGTTCATGGTTATCCAACCAAGAAAGCCATCTGGCTTCGTCGGTGTTCCAAAGCCAAGTGCAACGAGTTGAACCGCAACAAGAGAATGTATTCAAGAGAAAACACGCCAAGGATTGAGAAAAGAGCGGCATGTTTGGAGGAAAAAGCTCGGTGTGGGAGAATAAAAACAAGAAAGCAGTAAGAGATCAGCTTCCGAATGTTGCTGACTGTTGACCCCCGTGAATTAACGGAAATCAATGGTTGCATCCTCTACTTGCTTTGGCTACCCGTGAGTAGTGCGATTAAAATGTCTGCCATGATGCCGATCTTTTTCTCCGGGGCTCCCCCTAGCCTCTAGTTGGTAAAACAGATTTTCTCAGCCGCCCGTCTTCACATGCAATTTCGTATCTACTCTAGCTGTTTTCGAGTGCCTGCTTTGGAGACGAAACGGTGAAAACGGAACCCCCGGATAGCAGTCGAAATCTCCATCCAGCTCTGCTTATTCGGCAGCCACACTTTAGTTATCCACTCGCATTTCGTCTCGTCTGAGTGTCCGTTATGTTCCTGTTTTAAACAGGCCTTCGGACGCATTTCATTTTAATTTGCTGCCTTGTCAAGCTGTCAGTTAAAGACTGCCAATACCGATATTTGATATTTCAGGTAGAATCCGCCTCCACAAGATTCAGAAATACCTCCCGAACGTACTGAATGCCAAGTGAATGTCCATTCATTTGTTCCTAATGCCCGGTACCTACTGAAAATCAACTACGCACAACTCGACAGCACTAAGCGTCCTGTAAAATCCTAAGCAGCTCAGGATCTTGCAGTGACCCTGTCAAGAATGGACACAAGATTAGAGTTATACGTGCTAGAAATATGCAGGTCTTCGCCATAAATCCGGAAGAGGTCAAGCTGCTTAGGCGAATGAGAATATGAGGGGTGAATGACAACGTACTTTCCAAAAGCATTCGTCTAACCAGGAAGAAAGTACAGACTGTCTATAAGGAAGAAAAGATAGGTAAGAGGAGCGCCTCTAGGGTTGATTGCCGTCGCTGAACGGTCCGTTTGGCAACACCAGTGGAAGGATTCCAGGAAAGCGAATTGCAATGCACCCACAAAGTGCAAAGTCAAGTGTTATAATATACAATCAATCTCTGACCATACTGCTTGAAATCCAAAAAGAGGTACTGGAGGTTGTGGAAATTTTTACAATCATCGGTGGTTGTATTAAATCCAACAGAACTATATCTGAGAACGTTAGTGCACGAACCTTGAAGACACGAAACACATTTGCCAATTCGCACCACTCGTTGCGTCAAAAGAGCACACGACGCATTCGTATACTTGTTTTCAAGTACCAGGCGTACCAGGCTAGAGTAAGAGTTATTTATGATGGTAATACACGGCATCTGTGAACAGATGACGCGCGACGCCTTTATGCTTCCGACTACCGGTTTACCAGATGCGCTATAGGTATCCCATGTTGGTGCCAAATCCAAAACAAGGCGATTAGAATATGAATGTTCGGTTCTTCAGTCGGTTCAGTCTAGCACTATCATTTGTGCTATTTGATTATGTGCTACGTATGCCAAACAGCCTACCGTGATGAGTGCTGTTCTCTGTGTATCCTTCAGAATGGTGCAAACTGACGAGTGATGTGACTTGGTGGGAGAATGCGCAGGAGACTGCGAAGAGTTCGGGTGTTTTTCGTGGAAGCCAAGTGATCCTACCTGCGTTTGGTTGGAGCAGTGGTAAGAAATGGCGGTTCATCGACAGGTCGTGTCTAGATTGTCTGATGGAGTGTTTGGTAGTGTAAATATCTCAGACTATTTGTAGCAGGCTATAACCAAGTCCCCTCCCCATTCACTAGCTTTATTCTCGTTACTCATAGCTGAATAAAACTCGTGGCTGTACGGCGGTGTAGCATCGGTGTCACTGCCTCTGGTTATGATGATGCAAGCCAGATATGGACAGTTTGGTGAAATCTTCACGTAAGAGCCGATCGAAAGCTATTCCAAAGACAAAATAGCCAGTCCAGTTCCCCAAAGGAATTTAGATTAGAACGACAAGCGCAGAAAAAAGGTAACAACACAACAGCGCAGCTGTGGTCCTAAACCCATGTTTATGGCTATATGGGGAGGGAGCAGTGCCTCATAACCCAGACCCAGAGACTTCCTTTATGTTTTGCACTTTACTTATGGGCACTGAGCTGCCTCTAGGTGTTTCATGCGACGACTGCTCGCAGACGGAGGCAGAATTCAGGGCCTCTGCGGTTTGTCGCTTTCAATTCAGACTGTATGCCATACTTACGCCGTTCACGACTGCTACAGTATTACTCACTGCGGAGGAAGAAAAGTAAAAAAAAACTTCGGATGGAAGCCAGTAACACTGGGTCGTGATCACTAAATTGCCCCACACTTCCGAGGAGTGAAATAAGAACAGGTCTGAATGCATGAGCACGATAAGCTGTGGCTGGTTCAAGACTACCAGTGTCACCAACAAAGTGTTGCTCATCCCCAAGTCCAGAGAGAAGTCGGTTTATCACCAAGGATAAATTTACCTCTCCGAACTTTCAAACTTTGTTGCAAATTTATACACCAGCTACTTTTGGGACATTCCCACCTTTTTCAGAGTCAGACGAAAAATGTTGATCAACCAAATCCCTGACGTGCAAAATATGTGGCGTAGCCATCATAACTTATAAAGTGTTGCCACTTTTCTAGTGCAGACGCCGTTGTAGCATAAATAACTTAACTTTTCTCAATTAATAGCCTGATGTCCCCGCAAGACCTGGTGGAGGATCGGAAACGCTGATGACCAAAGACTGAAGTCCTTGAAGCTCCGGCGCACAGCAACCGTGTTTAGGATCTATACATAGTATGCATCATACTGCAACTTGGTCGTTGATAGAGGACCTAGCGTCACACTAGCGCCATGTGTGAAATGGTGGCCGAAGCTGTGGTCTTCCGAATTCGGTCAGTGACCCTGACGTCTGCTAATCCGCTAGAACTTGTGGTGCAATCTAGGCCGACGAGTTCACCCATCATATTGATAGGCTTCTAGGTAGGCAAGGCATTTTGGAATGCGCATATGCAAACCACATTTCAGAAAACTGCAGGGTCGATTACCAGCTCGGACAACCGTTCAAGTGCAACTCCTTTTCGGCAACACTTGCCATCTCACCCGAAGGAAGCCCGAGGGCCAAGATACTGCCACATTGCGCAAGCCTAGACAGAAGCAGTCGATATGCAGAAGTCAGTTTCGAACCACGGACCTTCCGACCAGTAGGTTCGCGCCTTGACCACTGACCCAGCTGAAGTTCATGCGAGAAAGGTTAGCAGGGAGCCAGACATCCATTCCCCCTACTAACACGTAGCCGAGCGTAAAGGCATACAATACTCAGTAAAGGTAGTGAGTCGTTTAATCTAGACGTTTCAATATCTATGCCAGCCGTGATACTGCCTTCCAAGGAGACAAATGGGATAAAAATAGTTAGCCCTAAAGATCAGGCAAACTGATAGTTTAATAGTCAGTAGTGACCGTCGATGACTGCGCTAATACTATCGAAAAAATAGCCATCCTCCAGAGCTAATGATGTTTCAAAAGCACCGATCACATGCAGTAGCGTCACGAGCCAGAATCCAACGCATAACTCCTAGCGCAACTCAGTGAAAGCTGCGTCCCAGTCGAGCACATCAACAATCATCCAGCTGTAACACTCTGGCACCTAGTTGCCCCGCTACACGAGGAAAGGATGCTAACAGATTACCCAAACCTAGACAACACCCGAGATGCTGGGGTTGGGTTCGAGCCTATTCGGTCAGTAAGTTCGCACATTGATCACTGACCTATCAATTCAATCCCTCCACCCGGAAGAATAAAAAATACACGCGTGCCACCAGCATGTAGTAGAGTTTAGATTCCAAAATTTTTGTCAAAGACCAACGGACACCCCTTCATCATACCCTTTCATATTTAAAAACCGATGCGTCCTGTAGTCCGTAGCAGAGATGGCTCAGTGGTTAGAACGCAAATTTACTGACCGGGAGGTCTGCGATTTAAACCCGACCTCTGCATCTCGACTTCCCCTGTCTAGCCTTGGGCAACCTGCTAGTATCTCAGTCCTCTTCTCTCGGGTGGCATGGCAGCTAGACACCGAAAGGTTGCTGCTTCTGAACGATT